TCCTATTTTTTCCTTCCTTCCTTCCTTCCTTTTTTCCTTCCTCCTTCACTACTTCTCTCCCTCCCATCCATTCATCCTATTTTTTCTTTCCCTCCCTCCCTTCCTTCCATCCATCCATTCATCCTATTTTCTCCTTCCTTCCTTCCTCCCTCCCACCGTCTCTCTCATCCATCCATCTATTCATCCTATTTTTTCCTTCCTTCCTTCCTTCCTTTTTTCCTTCCTCCTTCACTACCTCTCCCTCCCATCCATTCATCCTATTTTTTCTTTCCCTCCCTCCCTTCCTTCCATCCATCCATTCATCCTATTTTCTCCTTCCTTCCTTCCTCCCTCCCACCGTCTCTCTCATCCATCCATCTATTCATCCTATTTTTTCCTTCCTTTTTTCCTTCCTCCACTACCTCTCCCTCCCATCCATTCATCCTATTTTATCCTTCCTTCCTTCCTTTTTTCCTTCCTCCTTCACTACCTCTCTCCCTCTCATCCATTCATCCTATTTTATCCCTTCCTTCCTTCCTTCCTTCCTTCCTTCCTTCCTTTTTTCCTTCCTCCGTCACTACCTCTCCCTCCCATCCATTCATCCTATTTTATCCTCCCTCCATTATTCCTTATGGGGAAAATGTGTTTCGTCCTCATCCTCTTTGGTCCTCCTCGCGCCTCCCGGAACCAATTCCAAGCGCATCCCTGGAGTTCCCTGCGGGAAGACGTTCTTCTGAATATTCTGTTGGTTTCGGGGGGGGGGGGGTGTTGAAGCCCTTCTCTGGCCCCGATTGCTTGTTGTCGCGAGCGCTTCTTCGCAGCCGCTCCGAAGATGTTCCCTGTTCTTCCTTTCAGGTGCTGTGCTTTTCTGAATCTCTCGTGCCCACCGTCAGGAAGGCCCTGTGCGACCCTCTGGAAGAGGTGCGAGAAGCGGCTGCCAAAACGTTCGAACAGCTGCACTCGACCATCGGATTCCAGGCCCTGGAAGACATCCTCCCTTTCCTGCTAAAGCAGCTGGTAAGGATGCCGAGGTCTTGCCACATCCCACTGTGTCTCTCTGAACGTCCTGGGTGGAATGGAAAGACGGCACAATGAACCTCTTGCCTGTTGGATGATTGGCTCGAAGGAGCGCCTGTTAGGCAAGAGGTTGGCCATTGATTGGGTGAAGGAACCAGCTGCCTTTCAAGGCCCGGCTCTTGTCTTCCAGCTGATGGGATTTGAATCGGGGGACCCCTAGCAATACCTGCTCAGCTTGGGGTTCCACGGGATATAGAATAGCAGAGTTGGAAGGGACCTTGGAGGTTTTCTCATCCAGCCCATTGCTCAAGCAATGCACCCTAGACCAGCACCGAGTCTCCAAACCGGAATGTGTGTGCATGTGTTTTTCGGGCTATTTTCAGGCCATTTTCACGGGCTCCGGTGCCCGTGAAGACCAGCTGGTGCCCGCAGAGAGGGCTCGGCGTGCCACCTCTGGCACCCGTGTCATAGGCTCATCATCACGGCCCCATATCCTTTCAAACAAATTGGCTTCCCAATTTTTTCCCCCTCGAAAACAAGCAGCAACGCAGCACCCACAACTTCCTTCCACTGATGAATAGTTCTCAAAGTCAGGAAATTCGTCCTTAATTCTAGGTTGGATCTCTACTTTCGAGTTTCCGTCCCTTCCTCCTTTCCTGCCTTCAGGCGCTTTGGAGAGGAATTAACTCTTTCTATTCCCTCTTCTTCCTCCAGGAATGTGACGAAACATCAGAGTTCGCCCTGGATGGTCTAAAGCAGGTTATGGCTGTGAAGAGTCGAGTTGTGTTGCCTTACTTGGTGCCAAAGGTGTGTTTGCTTCTCTTCTTCCAGTTCTGAAAGATGCTCACTTCCTGTTCTACTTCTTCAATGCCTAAATCAAACTTGGATGGATAGAAATAAGATGAATGGATGGATGGATAGATGATAGATAGATGTAGATGATAGAGATGTGTTGTGGCCCAGCAGGAGCCGTTGGAGCTGCAAACAGACTCCAATAGCGAGGGGCCCTATGAGTTGGCTCTGGAAGATGTGGAGGACACTGGACAGGGTTCCGACTCCGAGCAGGGACCAGAGAG